GAGATAAACTTCATAAAATCCCCTCAACTTCACAAGCTAAGATACTAGTCAATAATTATCAAATTATTTGCACTTATTTCCTCAAATTCTTTAAAATTTTGAAAATTACTTCATCAAACTTAATATTAGTCTATCAAATCTTTAGAGGTTTGGAATTACCCTCCTAAATGTCCATAATTAGTTGAAATTATCCACTAAAATCTCTATTACAAATTACTCCTTCAATTTATAAATAGACCCCCAAATCTTTAAACAATTTCAATTTCCTCCCTCAAATGTTCATATTTTAAATTTTGTCTCTCGAATGAATTTATAAAAACTTAAATTAGTCTCTCGAATAATTAATGATTTGAACTTACTCCCTTAAATGTTCATAACTAGTCCCTCAAATCTTTATAAAATTTGCAAATTACTACCTTAGATTTAAAATTAATACCTCAATTCTTTAAACATTTTTAAATTCCTACATCAAGTGGTCTTATTTTGAAACTTTAGACCCTAAAATGGTGAGTATTCACCCCACTTATGATTCATAAATATTTTGTCCTATTTGAGTGGTAAGTACACTATGGTGACCACAACCATATTTTTTAGTTTGAACCAAACACTAGAAAATGAGGGAATCAAGTCACATATCAACTATTTTCTTATCTTTTAGAACCAAACTAAGAAAAATGATGGAAAATAATTACGCACCATATTTTTTTACAAAACAAACAAAAAAAAACACTCTTTAAAAAAATGAGGAAAACATTAAAAAAATAAAGGAAAGTAACCAAACAGCCCCTTAAAAAAGAAATAGATTTATATGTCATCCCTATATTTATGAGCCAACCATAAGATGCGTCGACCATTCAAATGACCATGACAGCAAGCTCTTAAAAAATTGCAGTTTTGTCAAGACACCCATACTCTGGCTTAGACTACTTGGATCCGATTAACTCAGTATGATTAATCCCACATAAACATTTGAGTCAAAACATAATTAACCATAATTAACCATATACTTGGTTAATTTTCTTTCTAACGTTACGTGAGACAAAATCTGACGTTGTGTCTCATTCTAAATCAATCACACGGCTAATCAAATGGATGCGATCGAAACAATGATTGACATTTGACACAACCCATGCCAATAAAATCATCACCAGAGTCCAAATAATGACTAGTACTGCTAATAAAATTACATTTGCATGCCCAGCAGTTTAATTGAAAAAAAAAACGTTTAAAACACTGTATTTGACTTTTGTACATCGCTGGCCTCTTTCACAGCCCTTGATTGTCCTTGATATTTGCACGCGTGGCACCAATGAAGCATCATATTCATAGAGCATTTTCTTCCGCACGCTATTTCGAAAGTAAATCTACTACTATGTACAAACGGGAGGACCTAAAATTCACTATTTATACTATAATAAATAATACAGTAACATTTATTGTGGCTTTGTGTTACTGTAACAAACAAGATACTGGGCGTCATAGGGTTTTTTTGAAAAAATATTACTGTGACACTGAAATATTGCAGGGAAAAAAAATGCTGTTCACACTAGTTCTTGAGAAGTTAGCACATCGTGTTACTGTTACCATTCTCCAAAATATAACGAGAATTGTTTTTGAATGATGATGATGAAAGCTTAGTTAGGTTACTTGTTGATTAAGATTTGGTGATTAACATGCATAACACGAGTTGATATATAGTTAAGGGTCTCTATCTCTTTAATATATATATGGTCACATGACTCACATCTATCTCTGTTTACGTGGCGTCAACCGAATAACCTCTTACGCCTCTGCGTGATTCTTTGGCTTACCGTTTGTGTTCACAACGTGTTAACCAATTACTCATACAAGACGCGAGCTAACAATTTATATATTTTAATATTTCACCATAATAAAAACATGAAAACATACCTAGAAATTAATTATAGAAAAATTCCCTCCCCATTATGTTCATTTCAAGGGTTTATTAGGTACCCGTTTAATTCATCCTCAAATATTCATGCTTGTTCTTCATTTAAATGTTGTAAAATTCTAAATTTTTTTAAAAACAAATTCAACTTCATGACGTGTCATAGTTTATTTCCCTGTAATAAGACGCGTTCCATGTTCTTTTAGTACTCATGAAAACTTTTAGTTCAAAAGGAACGTTGACCATATATTTGTCGCAGAATAATCGCTTATGAATACAGGTGTCAACTGATCATCTTAACTTCTGGAGATCCTTCTTAAAGATATCTCCATTCGCGGCTTTCACGATTGCGACGGATGAACTCGTGTCGGTTCTCTATTAGGGTGTATTTTCTATCCAATGAACATCTTTAAAATTCGTTTAATTAGACAACCTATTTTAATTATTTTTCTAACCACAATTTCTTAAATTACAATCCTCCAATGAAATCCTTAATTTCCATAAACACCCATGAGATGATATCTCCATTCGCGGCTTTCACGATTGCGACGGATGAACTCGTGTCGGTTCTCTATTAGGGTGTATTTTCTATCCAATGAACATCTTTAAAATTCGTTTAATTAGACAACCTATTTTAATTATTTTTCTAACCACAATTTCTTAAATTACAATCCTCCAATGAAATCCTTAATTTCCATAAACACCCATGAGATAACA